GAGACAGAGAGACAGAAAGCGAGAAATCACCCCCCAGGGGGGATGGCCACGCCGCAATCCCTTCTCCTCCATTCTCCTCTTGGGATCTTGGGCACGCACACACACGCACCCAGTGTGAGTTTAAGTCACCGGGTCCGGGACGCAAACCACACACCAACAGATGGTGTGCTGGACTCCCACATGGTCAACCACAGTTTAAGTCCCAGCCCCAGTGGCTTGAAAATCACGCTGGGCATGTATGTGTGTATGTGATCAAAATCCCAAGAGGAAAATGGAGGAGAAGGGGTTATAACATGGCCATCCCCCATGATGGATAATTTACTTTCCCTCTCTCTGTTAAGTCCAGGACTTGAACTGTGGTCAGCCATGTGGGAGCCCAGTGTCTTTAACCACCGCACCACATGTTGGCCCCAAGTTATGCTTTTTTTAAAGTTAATTTTATTCATGAGAGAGACTATATGCATGAGAGAGAGAGAGAGAGAGAAAGAGAAGACAGGCATCCCCAACAGGACCTGGATACACCGTCATCCCTTTCCCTAGCCCTGCAGGATCTTGGGTGTAGGTGCACACACTCAGTGTATTTTCAGGTCAGTTTGGTACCTGAACCTGTGGTTGGCTGGCCTCGTGGTTTCCAGTGTTGCAGTTCAGTTCGCTACCACATGCGCCACTGAGGCTGGGCCCTAACTGGCTCTTCTTTTTTTTTTTTTTGGAGAGATTTTTACTGTAGGGCGCGTGCGCTCGCCAGACAGAGAGAGACATAGAGAAAGAAAGGGAGAAATCACCCCCCAGGGGGGATGGTCACACCGCAATCCCTTCTCCTCCATTCTCCTCTCGGGATCTTGGGCACGCACACACACGCGCCCAGCGTGAGTTTTAAGCCACCAGGTCCGGGACGTGAACCGCGGTCGACTACGTGGGAGTCCAGCGACATAGCCATTACGCTAACTGCTGGTTCCCATAACTGGCTCTTCTTGGAAGTAGTTTCCAGTGTGGCCAGGACTAAGATAAAGGTTTTGTCTTTCCTTTCTATTTTAAAGTTGTTTCTGTAATCATAGGCAACAACTACTGAGAGACCTAGGGATATAGCCTTCTTTTCTATGAAAATAGCCCCTGATTAATTTTTCCTGTTATTTATAAGTGAGAAAACCGAGGCAGAAAGAGACTGACTTGAAATGGTGAATCAGGGGGCCAGCCCATGTCCTGGTGGTTAAGGTAGCAGGATCTCACATGGCTGTCCATGTCTGGCAAACATGCTGGTCCAGGACTTGAGCCACAGTCAACTAAATGGGAGTCCAGCAACGTAACTGTTATGCCATCAGCTGGTCCGTCCCCTACTAAGATTAACTAAGAATTAACACAGTTTCAAAATCTGGGCCATCATCAAACAATATGCTGTTCTGTTCATTTTAATCTACTGGTTCTGGCTACGGAAAGCTATTGTACTATGTGCCCATGCAATTGAGAGTGAGTAAAGCTCCACTCTCCTGAGAACCTGCCCTCGGTCTATTTGGGGCTGTAAGGTGCTTCCTGTTTCTGAGTTGCCTTCTGGAACTAAAATGCCCCACTTAAATACAAGATGCTCTTCCACCATTGGACTTGTTAGCACTGTGTTTCTCAAAGGGACATACACTCTCAAGCTATGTTCTCTGGTTCCTACTGTAGTAGTACCACAGGGAAAAAAAAAAAAGAAAACAAAAAAAAATAGAAAACAAGGCAAAGCAGTAACTGCTGGTTGTAACCTTATTTATAGAAAATGAGAATGGTTAGTATTGCAGATTGTGACTTTGGGTTCAGGCTCCTCTTGCCTTTTTTGTTTTCTTTTTTGGAGAGGTTTTTGCTATAGGGCGCATACGTTTGCCAGACAGAGAGAGACAGAGAGACAGAAAGCGAGAAATCATCCCCCATGGGGGATGGCCACACCGCAAGCCCTTCTCCTCTTGGGATCTTGGGCACGCACACACGTGCCCAGCGTGAGTTTAAGCCACTGGGTCCAGGACTCAAACTGCAGTTGACTACACGGGAGTCCAGCAACATAGCCATTATGCTAACTGCTGGTCCCTCCTCTTGCCTTTCTGCAGATCAAGACTTTGCAGGTGGGGAACCAGCAGTTAGCTAATGGCTATGTCGCTGGACTCCCACGTAGTCGACCGCAGTTCGCTTCCCAGACCCGGTGGCTTAAAACTCACACCGGGCGCGTGTGCGTGCGTGCCCAAGATCCCGAGAGGAGAATGGAGGGGAAGGGATTGAGGCATGTCCATCCCCCCTGGGGGGTGATTTCTCACTTTCTGTCTCTCTGTCTCTCTCTGTCTGTCTGGCGAGCGCACGTGCTCTATAGCAAAAACCTCTCCAAAAAAAAAAAAAAAAAAAAAAGACTTTGACAGTGTCCAAAACCATCCTGCTTTCCCTCCTGTAGCACCTATGCTCTTTTCCAGACTTGTAGCTTTTTTTAGTTCCTATCTATTTCTTTTTGTTTTGCTTGATTTTTTTTTTCATTTGTTCGTTTTTTATTTTTAGTTTGTTGTAAGGCATGTGTGCTTGCTGGAGAGAGACAGAGAGGATGAGGGAAAGTGAGAAGTCATCCCCTAGGGGAGATGGCCACGAAGCAATCTCTTCTCCATGCCTTTTGGGATTTGGGACATGCACACACACATGACCCTGCATGTTTTCAAGCCACTGAAATTAGGATCTGAACTGTGTAGTAGGTGATGTGGGATCCAGCTGCCTTAACCTTTGTACCACCTGCTGGCCCCTCCAATCTATTTTCTTGGTTCAAGCGAATTCCCTTTAGTCTGAACTCTTTGCTGTCACCTAAATGTGGATGATCCTAAGTCTAAATCTCTTAACTCTGGTCTTTTGCTGTCCCAACCTAAACTTCCTGCACAGCCCACCAAAATGCCCCACAGGTGACTATGAAGTACTTATTTTTACCAGAGGGTACGTGAACTAGCCAGAGAGAGACAGAGGAGGGGGGACAGGATAAAAACGTCCCCCAGTGGTGGTGTGATCGTGCTGCAATCTGTTTTCTTCCATTTCTCCATCCTGTTTGGATTTGGGACACATGCACATGTTCCTGGCCTGTTTTTCAAGCTGCCAGGGCCAGGATTTGAACCACAGTTGGCCATATGGAATCTGGCTCCCTTACCCATTAGGCCACAGGGCCAGTCTATGTGTCAGTATTGTCTACTCATATTTTCACTTCCAGAATTAATTTCTTTGGTACTTCTCCAACGTTGATATTGACATTACTACATACCAAACACTTAAAATAGAAACTTGTTCTTTGACTTTCATTCAGCTGAAATCACAATTACCAAGCTCAATAGAATCCCTTTATTGGGAGGAGGAGAGGTTTATAGCAATAAAGATATAATTTATATACAATATAATCCACTCTTTTACAGTGATTCTTAGTATTTTCACAAAGTTGTATAACCATCACCACTGTCTAATTCTAGAACCACAGAGTGGTTCTCTATAGCTAAGTTGACCCTGAAAAGCAAACAGCTGAAGAACCCTTCCATACCCAGGCAACAGGTGCTTCCTTGAAGGGAATTTGAGCAGTGCATCTCTCTCTCAACTTTCTGAGGATTTTAGGGTCTTTGGCCACACATGTGAAGCAGAGCCTCATCCAGCTATAATTATTGATAGATGAAACAGCTAACTATTAGCTTTTGCCCTTGTATCTCTTTTTTTCTCTATTTTCAGTTTTTTGCCAC